GTGCTCTTTTTTCTTTGAGGTGTTTTTATTTAAAAGACAGATTTACAGAGGGACGGACAGAGCAAGAGAGATCTTCTGTCTGCTGGTTTACCCCAAAAGGCTTCATAGGCCAGAGCTGATAGATCAGAGCTACCTGATCTGAAGCCGGGAGCCAGGAACTTCTCACAAGCCTCCCATGTAGGTGCTGAAACTTCTTACAGGTCTGCCCTGTAGGTGCACCTACATGGGTCCAAGGACCTGAGAGCCGTCCTCTGCTGCTTTCCCAGGCCATAAGCCGGGAGCTAGATAGGAAGTAGAACAGCCAGAACTTGAAATGGCATTCTTATAGGATGCCAGCTCCACAGGCAGAGGTTTAGTCTATGATCTACCATGCCAGCCCTCTAAAGTGCACTCTTAATTTCTTTTTTGTAAGATTTATTCATTTATTTATTTATTGGAAAGGCAGATATACAGAAAGATCATCTGTCCGCTGATTCTCTCCCCAAGTGCCCATACTGGCCATAGCAAAGCCAGGAGTGAGGAGCTTCTTCTGGGTCTCCCATGTGGGCGCAGGGTCCCAAGGCTTTGGGCCATCCTTGGCTGCTCTCCCTGGCCACAAGCAGGGAGCTGGAAGGGAAATGGAACAGCTGGGACACAAACTGGCGCCCACATGGTACTCTGGCAATTGTAAGGTGAGAATTCAACCACTGAACCATCACACCGGGCCCAAAAGTACACTGTTGATGAGGGCAGACTTCAGTGTTATCCAGGGCCTCTGACTCAGGGCATCATCCAAAACGTCATTATGGGGATCACAAGATGCATTGGGCCTTTGTACTGGGAAGGGCACAGTGAATCCTCTTTGTGCGGGCAGGACCCAAGGCTGGCGTGGAAGGACAAGCAGTGGACACCCAAAGGCAGGCCCCAATCTCTAGTACCCTGGCTCCTCACACTCCTCCCGGGGGTCCGTGAATCACCTCCCATGAACTCAGTTGGATATGCTGCCAACAAAAAACAAGGAAGATGAGCCCCCGCTCTGCAGCCCACAGTTTCAGACATTTTCTTGTTTTTGAGGATATTTTTTTCTTCTCCATACTTTTTTTTGCAACCCAGCCAGATGATCTGCTAATGGGGCCCAATAGGCAACAAAACAGTGAAACAAATCACGAGTTGTTATTCATGGATCCATTTAAGCTGTTAAAATGACTTGTATCTGTGTACACAGGATCCATGCTTCAGACCTCTTGGTGTCATCCTGTTTATCCTGGTAAAGCTGCTTTCTTTACTTGGAAGCGCTGTGAAAGCCAAACCAACACAGCATTGCACAGGGATCTTGGTTCTAGGGACAGCATCTACCGGAAACACTGGGAAAGCCAAGGAGATGCCCCACCCAAACAGCAGCAGCCAGCTTTGAGAAGTTAGAACCTAGACTCGTGTCTCTGCCAAAGGAAATATGACACGTTTCCCTTTCTTCCCTTTTTTATTTTTGTGAGGACACACCCAAACCTTGAACTCCTGTGTCTTAAATGTTTGTGCGGGAGCCGGCAGCTTCTTGTGACAAGTCAATGTGTATGCTTGCTCTGAGCCCCGGTTAATTCTAGCGTTCTGGCTTTATTCTATTTGTTTGCTCTGCTCTTTCCATTCATGCTACTCAGCAGCCTACCATCTCTACATCGATCTCCCCTCAGTTCTGCTTTCTCCTCCTGAATCATTGCTTGGTCAGCATGAGCAGACAGGATCCAGGGCAGTGTGACCCAGCCACTGATGCTTGTATGTGTATGCTAGCTCATTTCTGTCTCAAGTGTGAACAACGTAACAACTCACATGTTAGAGAGGAAGAAGAGAGACCCTATAGATCAAGTAAATTGCCAAAAAGTGACATAGTGTAACTAGGCAGTTAATCCAAGTTTAAGCGAGTTGGAATTCTTGTATCCCTGCCAAGTAATGCTGTCTCTTAAACTGTCAGATTGCTACATCCACTTCCTCGGGATACAACTGTTGCATCTGGGGCCAGGGGCCATGCTAAGGCTCCACCTCATTTGTAGGTCTGATTAGAGCATCACCCCTTCCATGGTAAAAATGCTGCAAGATGGGAGAGGGCTGTGTTTCCACAGCAGACCACTCCCAGACACACCACTCCACTTTGCGCTCTCCAGGTACCGCTCTTGGCTTTTTTCCTTCCTGTCCACCCTTGGGTCCACCCAGTTTGGGCATTTCCCAGGGTGGGATGGCTTGTTCTCGAGTGTGGACATGTGTTGATTCCCACACTGTTGAATGAATTCTACTTGAGCTTGGCATTCTAGCTCTGCAGGAGATCAGCACATACACTCGAGGTCAATATATTAATTGCCCATGCTGCAATTGGTGAGCCACCGTCTAGGAGTTTGAAATAAGTGGAAGAGAGCAAGGTAACCCCCACAATGGAAATGGGTGAATCAATCTCTGTCTCGCCTCTGCTGCAGTGCAGATATTTTTCTTTGGTTTTGGATACTCAGATGGACCTTGGAGTGACACAACTGGCTACTGCCCTTACATCTGTTCTCTGTCTTTATAAGGGTTGGAGGTCAGCCTTTGGCCAGAAATTCTAAGGAGAAAGATAAATTTTGGTAATTTGTGGCAGTTGTTGGGAATCAGCCTTGGGTGACTGGCTTAGTGTTCAGGGGACCGTCGTCAATGGCTGGTGGGTGTGTTTCTGGAGCTAACTTCTGTTACTGGACTGGTCAGTTATTATTGAGACATAACTGCTTGGTCAACCCAACTTCATCCTCTCTATGGTCTTCAGCTTACTGCTTGGTTTGGTAACTCCTCCCCTCTGCTTACTGCAAAGGGAAGGAGTGAAGAACCATAAGCAGCTAATCCAGCTGAGGCAGTACTTCCTGTTCTTGCTTGCAGAAATGGGGACCTTGCCCTTGAAGCACATGACAGTAGGCCAGTGCCTGTGATGTCTGGGTGGTAGGCAGCCTACTCACAGTCCAGGTGGAGTTTGATGGCTATAGCCTCTCCATTCTGAGACATCTTGTAGCTGCCAGGATGCCAGGTTTAAAACACAGCTGAGTTTGGTTCCTGGTATACAGCTGTGGCTTCTACTAGACAGCTGGCACCTTGTATGATCTACATAGGCAAGCTCTCCCTCTCTGTAGGAGTCAGCGTTTACAAATCCAGTTGCTGGGATTTCTCGGCTCCAATGCATGAATGCTGGTACCACCACTTTGACTTAAACGTCCATTTTGATTTAAATCCTTAAGATCAGACCAGGCATATTATTGATCTCAGTCAGGCACAGAAGACTAAGAGAATATGGTAACAAAACTTTCTCAGCCTCAGATCCCAAAATTCACAAGCAGCCAATCTTCCCTGGAGATCCAGTTTCATTTAAAAAAAAAAAAAACATTGCGGCAGGGAGAAGGGGGAAGGAGAGTAGGGAGAAAGGCGGTGACCACCCACCATTCACACCCCTGCGGCTCACCAGGTGTGGGGCAGGCCAGGTTGCCAGCAGCTCATACAAGGGCCAGGATGGAGAGGGCAGGCTACTCTGGGTAAGGGCCTAGCACCTGCTACAATGCATGAGATCTGGGTCAGGCAGTGGGTCTAACTGGAGAACTTGGGAAGCTTCCCTGGTGGGCCACAGGCCCCACCAGTGAGCACATGGCCCAGGCCTGGGTGTTGCGCAGGCTGAGCAAGGTAGCTCTATCCGCTGGAAAGTATGTGGGTTGGTTTTGGAAGCGGGCAGACCAGGCAAGACCGAGCAGACCTTAGCTTACTGGTGAGTGCAGAAACCAGGCTGGAGTGCAGGTCATGCCGGGTTAGGCTGTCACACCTAGTGGTTTACATGAGCCAGGGATGGGAGGAGACTGTGCAGGGCTAGATGACAGCACTCGCCAGCGAGAGTTGGGACTAGAGGCTGGCCAGGTCAGGTCAGGCTGCAGTATCTGAAAGCAAAGGCCAAGACAGGTGAGGGACCTGGCCAAGCTGGGTCGGAGCAATCACTGGCACATGCAAGATTTGTGGATGGGAATGGGCCTGGTTGGGTTGTGATTCCCATTGGTGAGTGTGAGGGTCCACTTGAACAGGACCCTTGGAGCACGCCCCACATTGAGGACCTTGGGGATGTTTGGAAGGCTGGGTGTGGCTTCTCCCCTTATCTCTTCTCTTCCCCCAGATACAGGAAGGTAAGCAGTGGTCTCACCCACTTTCCTTTAGCATTTGGTTGCAAAAGACAGGATTTCATTTTTTTTTGGCTGAGTAGTATTCATATGGAAATACACTATGTTTTCTTTGTCCAGTCATCAGTTGATGGATATATGGGTTGGTTCCATATTTTAGCTATTGCAAATTGAGCTGTTTACATGAGAGTATAAATAACTATGATATGCTGATGTCATTTTGTTTGGGTCAATTCCCAGCAGCGGATGACTAGGTCATATGATAGATCTATTTTCAGATTTCTGAGGAAGTTCCAAACTGTCTTCCATAGTGGTTCTACTAGGTTACATTTCCACCAACAGTGGATTACCTACTCCACTCCCTGGGGAGCTATAACAGCCAGGGCTGGACCAGGCCAAACCAGGAGCTTCATCTAACTCTCCCATTGGAGTGGTAGGGTCCCAAACACTTGCGCCATCTTTTCCTTTTTCTTCCTTTCTTTTCTTTTTTTTTCTTTTTCTTTCTTTTTCTTTAAAGGCAGATTTACAGAGGGAAGGAGCATCAGAGATCTTCCATTGGCTGTTTCACTTCCCAGATAATAGCAACAGCCAGAGCTGAGCCGATTTGAAGCCAGGAGCCAGGAGATTCCTCCAGGTCTCATGCACGAGTGCAGGGTCCCAAGGCATTGTGCTGTCCTTGATTGCTTTCCCAGGCCACAAGCAGGGAGCTAGATGGAAAGTGGAGCTGCCGGGATCCCGGCACATCCAAGGGAAGCACCTTTAACTACTATGCTATCGCGCCAGGCCCTACCTTGGATTTCTTGTCCTGGTTTGAGCTAAATGGTGAGCTGGGAGCCAACTGCTGCGTCTTCCCCGCAGGTCCCCTCTGGGAAGGGCAGGTGCAATGGCCGTGGCCCGGCCCCGGTCGGGTGAGTGCTTCCTGTTTCTGAGCACCATGATCCTCGTGGCTGTGATCATCTCCCTGCTGTTCTACGCCCTGCTCTGCAAGAACGGCAACATCACCGACCTGCCCCACCTGAGACTCGGCTTCTACAACTTCTGCCTCTGGAATGAAGACACCAGCTCCCTGCAGTGCCTCCAGGTCCCTGAGCTGGAGGCCCTTGGGGTGCCTCGGGTGGGCCTGGCTCTGGCCAGACTTGGTGTGTACGGCGCCCTGGTCCTCATGCTCTTTGTCCCCATGCCTCTCCTCCTGGCCTGGTGTAACCGGGACAAGGCAGAGTGGCAGCTGGCGGTGGGCTTCATGGTGGTGTCCTCCGTGTTGCTGCCAGGTGGCCTGGGCCTCTTCCTCTCCTACGTGTGGCAGTGGATCAGGCCCTCTCTGTTGGGGCCTGCCTTTCTGGCTCTGGGCATGGCCGAGGCCTTACTCATCCTCGTGCTCACAGCCATAGCTGTGTTCTCTCTGAGGGTCCGGAAGGAGAAGTGCGCACTTGAGAGCTGCTAGTCCAGGCTTCGGGCTGATGCTGTTGCAAGGGCTCAGTCCCTGAGAAGCTATGGGCTAGCCATCCTGTTAGAGCTAATACCAACTCCTGTTGCAATGAAGGGGCCTACCACGAGCAGGTGGGGCCCCCAGGGGCCCCGAGGCAGCCAGGGTGGCTAGGGCAACTGCCACTTCTCTCTGTAGAATCTTCTATCCCAGCACTACCCAGCTCATTTTCACGCGAGTTCCTGCTGTCATGATCCACTCTGAGCAGTTCTTACACAGTAGCCTCGGGAGCGTGGGGAAGTTCCAGCAATGAATGGGAACAGGCAAGGCCAGACTGTGGTGGACATTGGGCCCTGGGTCACAGACTGCTACTGCATCCGTGTTGGGTCACCCAGACTCCGCTATCAAAGCCTAGGACTTATCTGCAAAGGATTCAACAAGATAGAAGGCTTGGTGGTGGCTTGGCAGGTTCCCCCAGGGTCCCTGGCCCTGAAGCCACACACACACTGCAGGAGACAGCTGGCACAGCGCCCCCTGCTGTGAGACCCAGGAAACGCCAGATGCTCACTCAGAGAAGCTGAAGGAATCAGAACAGTTCGTACCCAAACACCGCAGACTTGGAAGGACAGAAGCACAACAACACATGTATTTCCCAGCACTGGTCTATTGGGAAAACTGCAAGACGATGACTTAATTTTTGTCTGAATACAGAGGTAGCAACGGGAACACTGCCATGACTGTCCCATCTCCTCCGTGGGCCTGTCTGCACTCCTGTTACAGCTCCTGAAGCCTGCACCCTGAAAAGGATGGCATGACGGGCACAGAGCCCGGTGGGCAGCTGGAGTCCCGTGCTGGAAACCAGCTGATACAGGCTAAACATCCCGGGTGACTTACAAGCAATACTTTTCTTGGAAAACTCTTTGGACCCCATCAGCTCATTTTCCCTGGAGCCTGGCCACTGAATAAAACCACTGGAATTTCCACATGGTGGGGGAAGTCTTTGGGGAACTGGGTTCAAGTCCTCACTCCCACACCCTCCACAGGGGCTCCTGGACCAAGGTTAGTTTACAAGACCCCAGGAGGGAAACACCAAGCTAGGACATGGGGCCTCTGGTGCCCACTGGGGCAGCCCACAGGGCAATTCAGCCCTTAGCTGAAAAATATCTCCCGAACATATTTGAAAGCATCTTCTTTCTCCTCCTCGGGACCGCTGCTGCCCTCGCCGTGGGCAGGGCCGAGGCCTGGGGTAGGGGCGTCGCTCCCTCCGTCCTCTTCATCGCTGCTTCCAGAGCTTGTGTGAGGGGAGAGGGAGGAGGCCTCGGGCTCCTGGGTATCCGCCAGAGATGGCAGCTGCCAGGGCTTTTCCCGTTTGCGGTCCTGGGAGGGGAGGAGGAGCAGATGTTAGTGCCCGATTTCCCTAACACGCTGGTTTGTCAGTGACAGGCACACCCAGAAGGCAGCCTCTACCCAAGGACTGTCCCCCCATTACCAGCGCCCACCCCCGCCTCACCCCGGCCTCTCACAATCAGCACTGAGGAGAGAAGCCAGCAGGGACACTGGGCAATGGCTGCCTCGGGGGCACGAAGGGAGGTAGCCAATAGAAACCACATCTGGAAAGGGAAGGAGCCCCGGGCACACAGGCTGATGGTCGTGAGCCCAAAGGAAGTCGCTGACTAGCCCTGGAGCTAGAAATTCCAGAGTGTCAATTTCCAGAGAAGTCCCTGACATAACCGTACCACTGTGGGGACTGAGGACACGCTCTCTAAGGCACCTGGCGAGTTACTGGGGCCTGGTGTGTTACCGAGGCAGCTGTGCGGCCTCCTGCACAGGAGAGGCGTGATGCTGGGAAAGCCATCGCACCTGAGCTTCTCTCGCAGCCACAAGCAGGCAGAGCCTGTGTGTGCCCTCCACCTACACAGGGTCCCCGCCGGTGGAGGGCCTGCTCCCCTCATACCCGGCCCACCCCTGTTCCAGGCATCCGGCCCAGCAGCTCAGCCCACGTGGAGAGAATCTGAGGCCAGGGAGTGGGCTGGCAGGGGTGGGATCCCTGAGGTGCTTCTCATGGAGAGTGACCAAGGACCCCGTCGGCTGACTTTACCTCGATCAGGATCCCCAGAGCCACAGCCACCATTTCAGCCTCATTCATGCAGTACACAGTCCTCGAGACAGGTCTGAAAGACAAAGCCTCAGCTGGGACTTGCAGCCGGGTGAGAGACAAGGGCAGGGGCTTTGTCCTGGTGACTGGCCTAGGAGGCGGACAGGGAAGCTTCCCAAGTCCCTGGGGATCAGGACTGACTTGGCTCCCCAGAGGCACACCCTGCAAGCCACGCAGTGGACGGGGGCTCATACAGGCCTTGAAGCCAAGCCCTGGCTGAGGCACAAATGCATCAGGCGAAGCGCGGTCAGGGGCAGCCCTGATCAGCTCAGATACCTTGACGAGGCAAGAGTCAGAGACGGATGCTGAGGGCCTGCTGGCCTGTCTAGCACAGGCAAGGATGGCTCCTCCCACAGGATACGGGCAGTCTGAAGACTCCCCCTCACCCGACCCTCCCCACCCCTGTCATTCAACTGCCCCAGGCCCCGATCGCCTGCTGGTCCAGCAGCCTACTGTATTCCATCCATCCTTCGAGAGCCCAGGCCACTGTCTGCTGAACTGGCCTACCTGAAGCCACAGAGATAAGACTGGCATCTTGACTGCCCTCGAGGGCCCACTATCGATGCCAACAGCTGAGGGCTGAGGAATCTCCATACAGACAGGGTGGAGGCACGCCCAGAGAAGGACAGCTCTGTCTCCACTCCACGGCCTTTGCATCCCTTAAGAGCCCCACAGGCCCCCCTCCCACCTCACTGTTCTGCCACCATGGGAAGGCCCGCCCTGGCTCCCGGGATACCCCCTCTTCTGCAGCTGGCTGTGCCCAGGAGTGCCCTGACCTGGCTGCCATCCCAGCTGGTGCTGCTGCCATCCTTCTCCTCTTTGGGGTCTGTGCTGGCACCTTCTTCTTTTCAGCCACCTGGACCGTCATCCAGGGTGGAAGAACCCTCTTTTTGTTGCCAGATGTTAATTCCGCCATCTCTGGTTTCCGACGGTGAGTGAGGAGCCAAGCTTAACAGGTGTTTCTCTGTAGGGACCACAAGACCCACTCCCTCGGCATTCCAGGGGACACAGGTGTGCTTGTCCTGCCTGGAGTTGATCTTCAGTTCCTCCAGAGAAGAACAAGGTCTGGTGAATGATAACCAGCTCAACAGGGCACTTCCAGTCAGCCGCCATTGCCGGGCAGGGCAGTGCAGGCCCAGATGGGCTCCGTCCCAGGAGCCAGGTTGAGGGCAGCAGTAGTGGAAGCGGGGCATGAAGTAGTCTGGCTGCCCCTGCTGGAATTGCCCCCATTGAGGTCCTGCACTGACCCACTCTACCCTCCCTACAGAAAGCAGCGTCCTTGAAGTGACCCTGTCCTTCCAGAAGGAAGGTCACAGTCCTCACGGTGCCGACCTCCCCCTCCCACTCCACACCTCCCGCTGCTCCTCGGCTCCAGGTTATAAGAAATCTCGCCGCCACAATAAGGCTTCTTCTCGCTCCACCTGAAGATGCTCCTGCTCGCTCAGGCTTGAACCAGCAGCACCTGTGCCTGCCTCCCTGCTATGCAGGCACTGACAGAACTTGGCCTCTTCGCCTTCCGCCCCCACCCTAATACCTCAATCCTGAAACGCAGGGCCCACCCCTGACCCCCGTCGGGAAGGGGCTGGCTCTCCACTTTCTGTGTAGGGATCCACTCAGGACCTCCCTCCACCCAGCCGCCTCTCTCGAGCAGAGAAAAGGGTGAGCTAGGGAAAGTGGGCGGTTCCTCTCCAAACGGGAGAAGACGCCAGAGGGCAGACCTCCGCGCCATAGTTCCTTCTGTCACAATTCAGCGACAAGTTATCCCCGAAGGAGCCCGCCTGAGCCCACAGTCCCCTGCTCCCTGCAGACAGAGATGCCCCCGACCCTGAGGGAGGTATCACCAACCTTGACCCGAGATGAGTCAACTCGCATGTCACAAAACAGCTGTAGCGACTGGGGCTGCAACCAGCGCCCCTGCCGCCCCAGGGTGGACGCCCCAGGGTTGTGCGGGCAGCACCCTTCCACACAGCACCAGGAGCTCAGAGCTCGCCAGGTCGGACCCTGACACAACTTCAGAGGCCTCCTCCCCTGCAGACACCGCCCTGCGCTCGGGGCTGGCTGAGGGGCAGAGCTCGCCCACCGCACCGTGCGCGTGCGCCCGCTGCACGGCCGAGCCTCGGGATCTGCCCCGCAGACAGCTGTGTGCCAGAGCTCTGGCGCCCCAGGCCTGCGGGGTCTCCCGAGTGGGGCGGGCAGACGGATTCCAGGCAGTTGAGGGGTCTCCCTGCGCCGGCGTCCACCAACTGGGCCAGCATCACCCGCCCCTTCCGGTCCCAGCGCACCGGCGCCCGGCGGAAGCCATAAGGCAGAGAGGCGAGGCCGCTCCGCCGCGCGGCCCCAAGCCGGCTGAGCTTTTGAGGTGTCACTTTCTGAATCCACCAATCAGAAGTGAGGGGGAAGGCTCGAGCGCCGTTTTCAACAGTCCGCTAGGGATCCACAGGCAGAGTGTCACGGTCCCTGGCGGGCGAAGGGAGAGCAACAGGCGGGAGTGAAAGCAAACCCAAGCTCCCTCTGCTTTCACTTATCTTCAAATAGAGGGGCGGGTGTTTCTATGGTAATTGAAGGTGCTGATTGGCAGCCCTCGGGGCTCCCCTGAGGTCTCACAGGTGCCTTGCTGGGCTGATTCCAAGCAGCGTGTTCCAATTGAGTCGAGATTTGAAAATCAGAAATGATAGAGAAATTTCCCATCCTTTGGTTCAGTCTCCAAACCACAACAGCTGGGCTGGAGCCATGAACTCCATGGAGGTCTCCCCACGTGGGGAGAAGGGACCCAAACGGTTGGGCCACCTTCCTTTGCCTTTCCAGATGCATTAGCGGGCAGCTGGCTGGCAAGTGGAGCAGCTGGAACTCCAACCCAACCGCCCTTATGAATTTTGCCAGACGCACACCAGCAGGCACAGCCACTGGCAAGGCCTCCCCTACCACATTTGGATGGTCAGATCCCGTAACGTCTGTCCCCACAGAGAGAAGGGAAGGTGGCAAGCCAGTGAATAATACCCATCTTAGCCTGGAGGCCCCAGGCACTGCGCCACCTGCAGCCGCGGAGCCTTCCGCTCCTCCCAACCCCGCGGCATCTCTGCTCCCCCTGAACAATCAGCCACAGTCCTGGAGAAGCTGAAAGCAATCAAGGTGGAATTAAGTCATTACTGACCTCGCCAGGCCAGGGAGGGGCCAGCCCGGCTTCCCTAGAGTCAGGTCTGCCCACCCAGGTGGTGGGAGCAGTCAGAGAAACCTCTTACTTTCTGCACCAGGACGGTGTCCGTCACAGGCCTGAGCAGGCCAGGATCCTGCAAGCTTTGAGCTGGGACACACCCACGCCTACTTGGCTGGGGTGGGAAGCATCATACATCCTTACTGGCAGGAGCAGCAGCCACCTGCATGTTCCCCTCAAACTCATGCCCCATGACCAACGAGGCCTTGAGAGCAGCAGGGCCAGGAGTGCCGAAGCAGCTGAGCTTTCCTTCATTGGAGGGGATTACCGGGGTAGAATTGTAGAAAATAAAAAAAAAAAAAAAATGAAGTAATGGTCAGGTGACTGCTTACTCTGAAGTCCCACATTTATCAGCAAAGCCACGTGCATGCTACCTTCGGATTTTCCCCCTGGCTTCTTTGTGCTCTTGCCAAAACAGACAAGCAGGAGTAGCCACCCTCCTGCCGTGCACAACCAGAACGTGGCTGGGGGCCCAGGAGCTTGAAAAATCCCAAGAAGCTTATGGCAGAGCTCAGTGATCAGGTGTCACACCCAAAGCCCACACCCACCAGTCAGCTCCTGGCTCCTCCGGGACCCCGTGCCAGTCCCAGCTGGGGCATGCAGGAGGGAGAGAGGTTGGGGCTCTTATTATTCCTCACCTTCTGGAAGGATCTGTCTCTTCAGGGCCTTCCCCCGGCTAGGACAGTGTCTGTCACAGGCCTGAGCAGGCCAGGATCCTGCAAGCTTTGAGCTGGGACACACCCACGCAGGCAGGCCTGGGCAGAGGTGTAGACAGACAGGATAGGCTGACTCAGCCTGAACCCCAGCACCTGACACCTTGTGTCTGCCCAGGAGTAGACCCTCTCACCACTCACCAGGAGAGTGCACAGGCCGTGGGTACTGGCCAGCCTCAGTGATGTTCAGAGCCATACTGAGATGGAGAGGAACAGCCAGCAGTGGGGGCCTCAGTGCCAGGCCGCATATGGAGAAGCTTCTGTAATCAAAGCTGTCAGCTCGGAGGACACAGAGAACACACAGGCCCAGAGAAGCAGGAACAGCAGATCCTTGCTACCCGGTGAGAGAGTGAGCCCACATGCCCCGTGTGTGGCAAAGCAACAGGCTGACCTGTTGGGGCTCAGCCACGGCCAGGGGGACAGGGGAGTGTGCTGGGGCTGCCAGGGGCAGGCTGCCCAGTGCCAACCACCACCAGGGAAAAGACACACACACACACACACACACACACACACACACACACACACACGCGCGCGCGCGCGCACACACACACACACACACACACACACACACACACGTGCATCCTAGACAGACACCAGGGAAACGCAAGAGATTTTTCTTTTTTTAAAAAAGGAACAAACATGTACAAAATACTGTCCATCTCTTCTGGGCCAACACAGCAGTCGTCACCATGTTTCTCCCTCTTACTGAGTTTCCTCCCACAGCTGAAGTGCGCTCCTGGCACAGTCCCCGACTCTGATCTGGGAAGTGCGGGCCACCTGCACTTCAAGCTCCCCTTCCAGTCGCAGCGCCCCCCTGTGGTGCTGGAAGGGAGCTGCCCCGGGAGCACCCAGGCCGACACTGCACCGCGAGTGGGAGCACACAGGCCGACGCTGCATCACGAGTGGGAGCACCCAGGCCAACGCTGCACCACGAGTGGGAGCACCCAGGTCGACGCTGTGCCGCGAGTGGGAGCACCCAGGCTGACGCTGCATCGTGAGTGGGAGCACCCAAGCCGACGCTGCATCACGACTGGGAGCACCCAGGCCGACGCTGCACTGCGAGTGGGAGCACCCAGGCCGACGCTGCATCACGACTGGGAGCACCTAGGCTGACGCTGTGCCGTGAGTGGGAGCACCCAGGCCGATGCTGTGCCATGAGTGGGATCACCCAGGCCCATGCTGCGCCATGAGTGGCACTCTGGGTGGGTCCATCAGAGCTTGTGAGCCAGCAGTGTGGTCAGCTTAATCTTGCCATCCATGGAGGCTGTGAGGCAAGTGCCGCAGTCCAGGGCTGTGCTCCAGTCCACGGTGACCACGGGGGCCCGGTGGCCGCCCAGGCTCAGGCAGCTCTCCAGAACCTTCTCATCGCCACCTACCTGTGAGAGAACAGGAGAGACGAGACCACGTCAGCAGGTACCACTCAGAAGCTCCCCTGTGGGAGCTACTCCCATCTTCCTGGAGAGTCTGCTTAGAACTGCTCGGCCCAGGAAAGGCCTTCACTTTCCCAAATTCAGTTAGTCCAGCTGAAGTGGACAAGTGCCTGGGAAGCTTCTTCAAAGAGGGCATTTTCTTCGTCACCCGAGACTTGGCTTGTACTTGCCGTGCCTCCTGCACCCACTTTGCTCATTCCCTTAGCATCACTCCTCATTTCCCAACACATACTCCCGCACCTGCTTATTTGGGGTTTACTCCCCAAGCTGGGGTCTGCAGGAAGGCAGGGTCCCCTGCAATGTGGCCAGCCCGCAGCCCCCTGTACTGTGGGGAGGCCCTAACCCCACCAGCACTGCTCTCTGGCAGCCACATGCACGTGTGCATGATCAGAAGCCAACAGGGAAAGGGAGTTGGGAGCGAGGTGGAATACGGTCAGTCCTGCTACACAGGACATCTGTGGGCAAGAGACACAAGGTGTCCAGCTTCATGGAGAAAACACGAAACCCATGAGCCATTTAGCCATTGTAAGGATGAGTGCCGGAGCTCAGTTGGTCCCAAAGCCATGGATCCCATGTGACCAGTTAGAGGGAATCCTTTCAACCTATGAGTTGGGTAGAGAGCGAGTCTGACCACAAACCAGAAACTGATGCGGGCAAAACACAAAGGTGACCCAACTAAGGTAAAATGTACCCCAAGCAGAGCTGGCCCAGCCAGGGTCACCTAAGACTAAGCTTCCAGGGACTGAACAGTCTTCCCATTGTACACAGGCAGCTTTAAGAGATTAGAGGGTTAATAACACTCCGGTGCAGGGGCCTGGCTGCTGCTTGAGCTGGGTACACTGTGCCCGTTCAACACATGTGTCTCAGCGGGGGAGGCTCCGCACTGCCCCTTGTCCAGCTGTGCGCTCACACCGCCTGTGTCCAGGTGAGACCCGCCCCCCATCAACATCTCCCTTCTGTGGAGAGGAGCACCCTTCTGTCCACGACATCTGCACCCCATTACCTTGTAGATGACGCCCCCCGTGGAAGAACACGTCAGCATGTAGTTGCCCTCGGAGTCAAATGCGAAGAGCCGGCCCCGCGGCACTTGCACCTGCTTGTAGCCGCTGTAACCGGACAGGACAAAGGGGCCTGTGGCGTCGGAGGGGAGGCCGTACTCAGACACCTTGAGGCCGCTCTTGTGGATGTTCCACTGGATGAACTGCGGGCACAAAGCACAACCACAGTGAGCTCTCAGAGGGGCCCCTGAGCCCGGGACGAAGAGCCAGGACCAAGCCTGGCGCACCGGCTGGTGCGGGCATCACAGCTGCCCCAGCCACGCTTCTGCTGCTGGGCTCACAGGTTCACAGCCCACTCCAGTCCTATACATATAAAACCACCACACGCAAGCATTTTTAAAAAATCTTTTTAAGGGAAAAATAATCTAGGAAAACAGAAGCCTCTCGTTCAAGTCCAACCCTTGTTTCTCCTGGGCCTGACTGCAGAAGGGGACTGCAGTGACTTCACATGGTTCTTGGTTTCTCAGGTAGAGGGGTCACGTTCAGAGGCCGTTAGCACTAACATGCCCACAGCCCGATCGCTGTTTTCCCCAAGAGGAACAAGGCACACAGGACAAAGCCACATCTGGCTCCAGTGCCTGGGCTGCACCGTCAGTGGCGCATATGCGACGTGGCTCCACACACCTGCTGGGGACAGGCCACTGCTTCCCTGGGAATCCTTCCCACACAGGCAGGAAGGCAAGCTTCAGGGTAAGCGCCTGTGTGACAAAATGATGACCTCACCTTGAAATCGCTGTTTTTCACAGAGAAAATCCCGAAGGGGCAGGAGGATGGTTACGGACGTTGGCCTTGATCCACTGCAATCCCTCCGATGCTCCCCACAAGGCAGGCACCTGCCTGCCACAGAGCGGATCCACGCGGGGAGCCTCCCGTAGCATCCCCCCTGGCTTCCTTGGCATAGCTCTGGACTCTGCCCACACGTGTATACATTGAGGAAGCTTCTCCCAGCCCCCCAGCAGCTCCACACTCCCAGGATGCTCTTAGGATACCCACCACAGCCCCCAAGCTCACTCGAGTGTAAATCCGGAGCCCCTGGATCCATCAGCAGTGAGATGAGTGACTGGTATGCCAAGGAAGAAGGGTGTGGTTCTCCCCTCTCATAAGAACAGCCCATTCCCACCAGCCTCATTTAAACCCTAAGTCACGGATTTCCATTTTATCCCCAATTTACCGATCACAAAACTGAAGCAGAAAAGGCCCCAGCTCACAGGTCAGTGTCGAAGCCCAGTCTTGCAGGGCACTCTGAATGCAATCCTGCCGCCCCTTACCTTGCCATCCTCGCCAATGCTGTACACGGTGTTCTCGTCGTAGCTGAACTCCACAGAGTACACCTCCCCGCAGTGGGCCTGCCAGCTCATGGCACACTCATGCTGCTGCATGTCTGAGGCAAAGAGATGTCACTAAGCTTCCGGCCAAGACACCATGGAAACCAGCTGGCCTTGCTGCCTCTAACCGCTGTGCCGGAGGCTGAGGGCATCCTGAACCCAAAGGGCACCACTGAGCCAGGCTGCCTCGGAGGTACACAAGCGGTTCCTTCTGCTGGGCCAAGGGGAGGCTTAGGCTGTAGGGGGATTGGAGGAGAGGGCTGGCGCTCACCCAGGGAGCTTGTAAGTCTGTGAGTCCCTCCTATAGGATGTCCTATGCCCTGGGGACAGAGGCGAGCGAGCCACCTACAGCAAGCAGGTAGGAGAGCATCCCTCTATTGTGTCTGCCTGGATCGCACACAGGCATCCAGGACTTCCGTTTGAAGCCAGGGACAGCTGAGCCCACCTTCACCCGCTGTGTCTACTGACTCCAGCTCCAGGCAGACTGGTACAAGATGGTGTTTCTGAAACTCAGACCAAAGCTAAGCTCTAGCACACGCATCTGAAATGGAACTGCACAACTACCCAGAATCTGTCCAACTCAGCGCTCTGGGACCAAGACTGACCAGGGCACCTGCATACCAAACAACCGGATGACGCCATCGGCCGCTCCCGTGACCAGCAGGTTCCCATTGTGGTTGAAGGCTGTGCAATTGATGGCAATGGGCTCTGGGTCAAGGGAGAACTGGAGCTGTTAGAGCAAAAGAAGAGGACCAGGCACGTGATTAGCAGACTATGTCCACTCAGCCACAGACCCCAGAGGCAGCCCAGGTGGGCCTCCCCCTTCCTTCCCCTTCCCCTCTTCCTGGAAACAGGGAGTCAAGCCATTGCTAGGTGCAGCACTGTGACCTGTGCTCTGGGGACAGACAGGGTCCCTGTGCCACAGAGACAATAATCCTGCCCAGAATGCACTCACAGTGCATGCCAAGCCACACCTTGCTGAAAAGTCATATGGGCCCACAGAGACCAATACGTTATGGGCTGCCTCCTGTGACAGGCGATCCTAAACAACTGAGTCCTGCCAATGCCCAGGCCTCCCAGTGCACCCCTCCCTCCCCACAGAAACGCTCAGCCAGGGGCAGATGGACCAGCCTCACAGAGGGGCTAATCACTTAATTCTTCATTGGTTCTTTAGATAAATGACTTAGCCCCTCTGTGAGGCAGCAGGCAGATGCTGGGCAGCCCAGGCACCAGGCAGGTCCCGTACCTGCTGCTTCATGGTCTTCGTGTCCCACAGCAGCAGTCTGCCTGGAACCTGGTTCATGCCCTTGGCCGAGGAGTCCACCTGGGCAGTGAGGCTTGGAGCCGCAGCTGAACAGACGAAGGATGCCCCGCTGGGGCTGCACGCGAGAGACAGGATTCTGCAACACACACGAGGAGGGGTCAGATGCTGGGACAACCTACAGGGAGGGGAGGGAATGCCCTGTATGGGGGCTGGCACAAGACTCAGGAGGCCTCCAGCTCACCTGGGCATATCGTCGTTGATGTTGATTTCACAGAGGTTCTTCTTGGCCTCTGTGTCATAGAGACGCACGGTGCCCACGCCACTGCCCAGCAAGAGCTGGAATGAGAATGGGCAGGAAGTGAGAGGGACAGTATGAAAGCAGGCTGGGACAGGAAGAGCCCAGGCCTGTTACTGCAAGGCGCATGCTCAAGCCGCTCCTCCACTCCTCCGGCAAGTCAGGAGAAATCTGGCTACAAAGAACCTCACTTTAAAATTACAGAAACCAAGCCAGGTTCCTGGGTTCCAACGGGTAAGAGGCACTTCCCATACCAGAGCACCAGAGTTTAAGCCCAGCTCCAGCTCCAGGCTAACCCGCCCTGGGAGACGGCAGCTGATGAGTCTAATATCTGAGACCGCAGCGTCCACACAGGAACCGGGTTGAGTTCCTCACGCTGACTTCAGTCCCACTCGAGGGGCTGAGGAGGGCATGTGGGGCGTGAACCAGCACCCAGGATCTCATTCTCTGCCTCTCAGATACATTTATTATTATTATTATTATTATTTTAATTAGAGATAGCTATTTGACACAGTGGTTAGGACACTGCTTGGGTTGCCTACATGCCAAATTCTCAGTGCTTGGATTTGAGTCCTAGTTCCGCTTTGAACTTGAGCTTTCTACTAACCCATACCCTGGGCGACTGCGGGGGATGGCTCAGGTGCCACCCTCGTGGGAGACCCAGATGGCGTTCCCACATCCTACTTCGGCCTGGTCCAGCCTCAGCTATTGCAGACATTGAGAAATAAACCAGCAAATGGAAGACCATTGTCTCTGGCCTTTGGATCCATGAAAATAAATAAGCGATAAACTTACTGACTAAATAAGGACATTAGAGCTGACCTTGAGCAAAAGCAAAACCACAAGACATCTGTGGAACGGGAGAGATGCATCGCCTCAAGTACTCTAGAAATGCTCTGTCTGCTCAGTGAGAGCCTCTGTCTTTGCAGGATAAGTCCCAGCTGCTCCAGCCCTTCCTCTGGGTGCTGGTCAAGCCCGGCCCTCCGTGGCTGTGGCCCTGGCCGGGGATGGAGCCTGAGAGGCTGCCCGTCCAGGTGACTGCAGGGAACAGCTCTGGGTTTGTGAAGGCCTCTGGGCAAACGGAGGAGTCCATCCGCGTCTTGAGGAACATGTGACGTGCTTGGCAAGAAGCGCCCGGGTCAGCGGGAAGCATGGGCAGAGGGAGGTACCAGCAGCAGCCTGGCCTGAGGCCACCCAGGAGTCCTAGCTGGACTGGCACCTGCTCATCTCCAGCCGGACTGGGACCTGCTCATGCTCGGGGCAAGCCCGACGTCCCAGAGCCGCAAGGCAGGTAGAAGCAGAGAAAAACAGGTTGTGCCCCTCAGGCTGTGGGGTGCGGTGGAGTGGTCCCCACCAAATGGATCAGAAGAGAAAACATTTTCACCTCTTTAACTACAACTGCCCTCCCGTTCAAATAGCAGAGCCGGGGAGGGGGAAGGGACTTGGTAAAGTTCACTCCTGGAGGGCAGCAGGCCTTTGAGAAGCACAAAAGGGAACACCCCCACCCCCAACCAACACTAGCCAGCCAGAAATCCTAAGCTGCTTCTCAGGGGCCTGGACAGGAGGGCAAGTGGCAAGAATTCAGGGCAGAAACACAGATGGATGGGGGGTCCCCTCTGGGCAGACTGTGCAGGCAGGAAGGAGTCCTGTCCACTAGCTCCACAGCTCATTCCAGTCCTGCAAACCCAGGAACCACAGCGCCACCCGAATGGGAACCTGCAGGGCCAGTTCTGGCTGGGCAGTCCCCGGCTGCTCCCTGGTGGAAGGGGCAGCTTCAGCCTAGCCTATGGGGAGCCCGAGAGAGCCAGCACTGCGGGCCAGGAGCCACTCACCAGCCTGTCCCGCTTGGTGGCCCACTCGAGCGACAGCAGCGGTGACTTGGAAATGGAGGACGCTTTGGTCTGCATGATGGGGTTGAAGGACCACACTTTGATGACACCATCCACGTCGAGGCTGGCGACCCTCCTCCCTGAACAGTCCACTCTAGACCCAACAGAAAGAGATGCTGGCAGCCTGACCCTCGGTCCTCTTCAGCCTGCAGCCAGGAGACTGCTTCCCCGGCTTTCTTTAGTGTTCAAAAGTAACCCCCGGAGGCCTGCCCTGGAAGGACAAGCAGAGGAACTTTCCAGAAATGAGCTGCTGTCTGAGGAATACTCGCTAAGCACACAGGACATCTGGGTTGCTCATTCGGTGACACTGGGACTAGACGTGCGAGCCAAAGCCACAGGCCTGCCTTGGGCACCTGCCTGGAGGCTGACAGCCCATGTCTCATCGCCAGTAAGGCAGTCAGGACAAGGAGCCCACCTGCTCCTGAAAATCACACCCCACCAGTGTTCATTCTTGCCGGGCCAAGTTCAATGAAGTAAAGCCTCCTCAGTGGGAATAACTGCAACAGCACCATCGCAGCACCCTGGAACTGACTGGGTCGGGGGATGGGGGAGGGTGGTGAGGGGATGGTTACAATTAATTTGTTGCTAAAATTCAAGAGACACAGGAAGGGTGGCAAGGCAGGTCCAGTGCCAACTCCAAGCAGGACTGCCAGGTGGGCAGTTGTCCAATCCTCCTCTGAGCTTGCAGGAGACGCCAGCTTCCTTCCAGGGCACCCTCGCTGCTGCACCTGCCCTAGCACTGCCTGAAAGCCCAGGCTGCCAACCTTGTCCCTGGTGGCCCCTGGCCTGCCTACCTGCAGTGCATGATGGACGAGTGGTGCTCAGCGTACTCCTCCTGCCCCAGCACGATGAAGGGCTGCTCGGGGCGGGCTCCTCCACCCTCCGTGCCAGCCATGGACACCCGTGTCGGTGGCCCCACAGGCTCCATGGGGGGCTCCGGGCAGGGCTCGGCCTCTGGGCCACTAGCTTCTGGCTTCTTCTCTGCAGCCTGGGGCTGGTAACATGGAGAAGGTCAGCTGGGAAGGGGCCCTGCACCCAGGAGCACACCAGAGTTGCAGCCAGGGTCTGCTGGATGGCTCTGGCTGGCCACAGGGTCTAGAGGTGAGCCCTGAGCCAGGAGGGCAGGCAACACTTAGCTCGCCCTGGCAGAGGGCCGCACCTGTCCCCGTCCTTCCTGGTCACAGAAGACCGGGTTCAGGGCACACACCTCAGTGGTAGCCTGCTGTGTCCCAGGCCCCGAGTTGTGATACAGCTCTGCTCATTCAAACCTCACCCAAATCTTGTGAGAAGGTATTATTTACCACATCTTAACAGTTTGGAAGTTAAGGTGCAGCAGAAGCTAAATGCCCAGTCCAAGGTCACAAGCTGCAGAACTTGAGTGTGCAGCCAGGTCCTGCAGAGTTAAGCCTGCCCCCACCCCACTACACTCCCTCATCAACCATCACCTTCCGGGATCCCCTCCTGGGAGTGGCCAGCACAAGTCTGAGACTGGGTCATCCAGCTGCTCTGGTCAGCTTCCTGGTGGCCGCTCGTGCTAGCTGCATGACAACTGTGCGTTCACCTGACACACCCCAGGCCTCGGGGGAGGATCAGGGAACTCCACCGGCTCTGCAGCACCCATGCTCTTCCCACTGCTCCCTTAGGGTGCAGGGGGAGTAAGTCAACAGCAAAAAGGAAAACCACAGAGGAGCTGCAGACCACGAGGGCTACGCCGGACTCCAGGTGCATTTCCAGTCAAAGCCAGGGCAGGATGGCTCGGTATGTCAACAGCCACCAAGAGGGAACCACGCTCCGCCGGCAGCAGCACTCAGAGTAGGGGCCCTGCGGCACTCCACAGCAGTGGCGTGGGCCAACCCCGGGGCACCCAGGCCCTCCTGTACCTGGGAAGATGTGGTAGAAAACAGCTCCTTCCTCTCCTTGCCGTGGTCCTGCAGGCGCCGCTGCCGGTGCTGGGCCCAGCTTGACTCCACAGGGGCCAGCCCACCCAGGAGGCTCTTCCCCTCCTTGGCTCCAGGGCCTGGGTCCTTCCCCTTGATGGACTAGGAGACAAGAAGCTGGCTGTGAGAAGTCTCTTCCCTCGTGCCCAGGATGGGAAGACCAATAGCAGAATGAGAGCCAGGGGACTGGCTTCCCTACTGGACAGTTCTCCAATTAGGCCCTCACTAACTGGACTGGGCAGCCGTTCCAGCGGTGCCAGGTAGGCCTTCTAGCTGCCGACAGCAGCCAGGCTTTTCTCCTTTGCAGTCTCTATTCCCCTTTAAGAGTGGGACAGGTCACTTGTGTCCCCCAATCTGACGCACTGCACATCTGGAGAGATGAATCTGAACAGCTCGATCGAGGCACAAGAGCTGGGTTAAGGGGCAGGAGTCCAGCACTGACTCCGAGAGGGCTGAGCGCAGTCAGGTCCCACACTCCATGCCATCAACACAATGCTTGGAAAAACAGTAGAGAACCCAGGTATCAGGTCCCAGCACTCACACGGGACACCCAGAGGAAGCTCCGGGCTTCACTGTTTTCTCCCATTCCAACAGGAAGCTCCCACTTCCCCATTCTACCCTTCCCTAGGCAAGGATATGCTTCAGAAAGGCAGTTGTACCCCTCTGGGCAGTGCACCAGCCGATGAAAGAGCTCCGTCTCTCCCTAATGCTGCCTTTCAAATAAATATTAAAAAAAAAAAACTAATAAACTTTACACATAAATATTATATATATTTTTTAAAAACACTAAATGATATGAAATAACCCTGAACAAAGGAAAGGTATCTGTTCCTGGACAGGGTATCCCAACATCATCAAAACATCAGCATTGTGGTAGAGTGGATTAAGCCACCCCCCTATGACTCTGAGACCCACAAGGGTGACAGCTTACATCGCAGATGCTCCACTGCTGATCCAGCCCCCTGCTAGTGGCCTGGGAAAAGCAGTGAAGGTGGCTCAAGAGTTTGGACCCCTGCCAGCCATGTGGGAGACCCAGAAGAAGCTCTTGGCTTTAACCTGACCCAATATCTGGGTGGTGAACCAGCAGGTGGAAAAATCTGTCTTGCCCTTCTCTGTGTAACTCTTTAAAATAAATCCTTTACTAAAACCTAATTTAAAAGATGTCAGCTTTTGATCCAGGGTCCTGCTATTAGCCTGGGAAAAGCTCGCAGCAGATAGCTCAGGTGCTTGAGTCCCTGAATCAGGGCGGGAAGGGGTGGGGAGAGTGGGGAGGGGGCCTCAAAGAAGCTCCTGGCTTCGCTTTGGTCCCGCCTTGGTCTTTGGGGTCACCTGCAGAATCAAACGGCAGATGGCAGATCTAACACGTTCAAATAAGTAAATCCAAAATAAATAAATAGACAAAAGAATAACAAGAAAAATACCAAAAAGGAAGAGCCATGAGGGAGAATACACTTCTAGAAATTTAAACCAAAAAAATCCAGAGTGAATGTTTTAAGTCTGTGGTGCCGGGACATGAATGGAGAGAAAAATGAATGCAGAGGAAATTCTAGAAACAGATTCAATAACACATGGAAAATTAGTATTTAATAAAGTTAGCATTTTCAAATTACTAGATCAAAGATGGGAATTTTAATAAATGATGTTGGGACAACCAGATAGTCATTTGAAATGAAAAAAAATCAATCCAACCATCACATTATATGCAGGTTCCAAATGCATCAGACATCTAAATGTAAAAGATGAAATGATACAAGAGGAAAACATACATAAATGCTCCCATGACGCAGCGACAGGGGAAGATGAATTTTGATTCAATATCCAAATGAAATAAGAGACCAACTGACTTGACTGTGTTAGAAAATAAACTCTTGCTTGATCAAAACTACAAGCAAAGTCAAAAGATAAAAGGAAACACTGAAATATAATGTCTGCAACAAACATCAAAAATAAATGCTTAAAATAAATAAATAAATGCTTAAAATCCATGACACAGGAAATATTTAACATTGGAGGGGAAATACCAGTATCTACAGATAAAAATAGGGAAAGCCAATTTATAAGAAATACACAAAAACAGACTACACACATACACACACACACACAAATATTCAGCTTTGCTCTTTAAAGAGAAAGGCAAATTACAAGTGTGTATCCTTTTTTACCCATTATATTGGCAAAAGCTCTAGAGCCAAACAGAAGATGCTGGTGAGGCTGTGGGGACCAGGAACTCTCACTCCAGACAGGAAGACAAGCATGGCAAAAACTCAACTGCACCTCGGGCAGGATAGTTCTTTATACTATTTCTTCAACTTTTCAGTAAGCTGGAAAGTATGTAAAAATAAAAAAACTAGGAAAAGGGAAGAAAAGGACAGAAAAAGAAGTGGTCATGGCCCAACTCAGCATTATACTTAAATGAGTACATCAAAGTCTGACAGAGAGGTTCTACAGAGGTAGAGGGCGTGCAAGACGCTGGTGGAACCACGTACTCGGGAGAATGACCAGCGCACAGAGACGCACCCACTGTGAGCTTGTCCCACTCGTAACCCTACTGTACATGTCTTTGTATCCCGAGCACCCAGCACCTTGCTTGCCACAGACTGGACACTCAGTAGTGGCCAAGAGATGAGCAAATGGGCAGGAAGCTACAGCAGCAGCGACCGGCTGGAAGGACGACCTGTGCACCTACCAGGCATGCTCTAATCCAGGATGAGTAACACCAAGTCCTCTGGGGCCAGAAGTATTTTAGGTCTTGAATTTTTTCATGGATTTTGGAATATTTGCAAACACACCATGAGGTGTATCTTGGTGATGGGACAGAGTCTAAACACAAAATTCACTCATGCTTCCTATACGCCTCCTGCACTCATCGCCTACGATAATTTTATACAGTTTTTTTTTTTTAAAGATTTATTTTTATTATTTTTTAATTGGAAAGGCGGATATACAGAGAGGAGAGACAGAGAGGAAGATCTTCCGTCCGATGATTCACTCCCCAAGTGAGCGCAACGGGTCGATACTATGCCGATCCGAAGCCAGGAGCCTAATCCGGGTCTCCCACGCGGGTGCAGGGTCCCAAAGCTTTGGGCCGTCCTCGACTGCTTTCCCAGGCCACAAGCAGGGAGCTGGAAGGGAAGCGGGGCTGCCGGGATTAGAACCGGCGCCCATATGGGATCCCGGGCGTGCAAGGCGAGGACCTTAACCACTTGCGCCACCGCGCCGGGCCCAACCTACGATAATTTTAATAACTCAATATGAAGCAAAGTTTCACAGTGTACAATTTTTCTTGCTGGTGCTCAAAAGATTTACACTTTAGAGCACTTCTGATTTTGGATTACAGACACTCACACTCTAGAAGCTTCCTGATCTACAGATAGTGAGAGATACTGTGTTACCATCTGACACATCCACAACTCATGCTGGAGCAGGACAGCAGTTAACTGTCAGCAGCCTGAGCCAATGAGGAGGAAGTCCACAACCTTGCAGAGTTGCCATGAGGCCTCACAATGGAGCAGCTCCAGGAGTGTGGCCTCCCGGGAAGCACAGCCCAGCCACGCAAACCATGGGCAAAGATGGTAAGAGGGCTCCCTGTTCCCCGCCCCCAGCCCCCTATCCACTGCTGCCAAGATCTCTGGGAACAGCCCCTGGGCAGCTGTTGTCACTACTCACTTCCCCTATAACCAGGAGGTAATCTGACACAGTAACACTCACTAATAGCCACTCCTGGAGGCTTTGTTCTCCTTACATTACATTACAGTCAATTAAAGGCTATCTCCGTAATAAGGTAATTCCCACTTGCACTCCTATCTGCTCACTAAGTGGGTGTGAAAGGAGCTGGGCCAAGGCTGGGACAGGAGGGAATACACACTGCAGGCTGTGTGCCCCAGCAGGGAAGCTGGCTATTGCCGCACCCTCCCATGATGGGAGTTTCCAGAAAACCTGGAACCTGAGACTTGCTGGTTACTTCCTTTTTGCTGGAGTTTGGGGCAGGCAGGTAATCAACCCTAATGAAAGCCTGGAGAATTCAGACTGACATCTATTTTACAAAAATGCTTTGTACTTCTTTTAACAATATTAGTGTCAGTGACCACTAACAAGCTGGCAAAATACTGAGATGAGTGAAGATTACAATGCCCTATGGAAATGATATTTAAAATAGGAGGTTCTACTGTTAAACTAGCAACATGTAAATTGACTAATGTACAGCTGATTTTTTGTGTGTGTGCTCACTGGTGCAACAGCAGCAAGAAGGGCTACAGGCTTGGTACTCACTGACAAAGCAAATGTTGCTTCTTTAAAAACTTGTGCCACTTTACACAAACTCAAAGCTATGTACTATCAAAATTCCCGGAAGTGACCCTGCCACCCTGCCCTGGTGGTGACAAGAGGGGATCTGGAACTGTATTCTGAAACTTGGGCATCAAAGGTAACAGAGGGCTGGGGCTCAGCACTGTGGCATTGCAGGAAAATCCATTCTGTGCAACACCAGCATCCCATTTGGACGCCAGCAGAGGCTTGTCCTAGTGTTTGGGCCCTTGCAACTACATGGGAGACCCAGAAGGGGGTCCTGGCTCTTAGCTTTAGACTGTGCCAGCGCTGTGGCACAGAGGGTTAAGCCACAGCCTGTGATGCCAGCATCTTATATGAGTGCTAGTTCAAAGTCCCAGCAGCTCCACTCCTGACCAGTCTTCCAGCTAAAGCAGCAGGTGACCCGGGTGCTTGAGTCTAGTCACCCACATAGGAGAACCAGATGGAGTTCCAGGCTCCTGGCTCCGGCCTGGGCCAGCCTCAGCCACTGTGGCCATGTGCGGCATGAGCCAGTGGACAAAAGATATCTCCCTCTCCTTTTCCGTATTCTACCTTTCAAATATGTAAACAATGTAAAAATTAATAAATAAAAATGAAGGTGAACTAGACGATCTTTAAGCTTCTCGTGTGACTTTCTTGAATGGGTTGTTTTTAGAACCAAGACACCAATGTCCAATCTAAATAACCCTGTCAGTGAAAACCAAGTGGCCTGATCGCCAAGCTCTCAGATCGTAGATGGCCCATCTCAAGGATTGGAAACTCTCTTCTGTTGACATACCACATGGTAACCCAAGGATTGTCCAATAGGAGAACGTTTTAAAGGCAAGGTAAGGAATATTCTGTTGCAAATTATTCACTCTGACCCTCATCTCTTGGCTGTACACTGCACAAGGTTTCTAATTGCATGGCAACCTCACCTCAAGACATACAGACCCTGAACACATAAAGAGCACGACCAAGGAAGCTGCCTCTGTATTTTTATTCATTTTAAGGTAAACAGAATTTTAGTTTCAAGCTCATTTCAAAGGGATCCATCACTACCTGTTACATTTATAAAATGTTGTACAGCCAGAGACCCCCAGAAAGCAAACAGTAAAACTTACTTAGCCACAGAGCTAGAATTCTCACTTTAAAATATAAACCTTTGCTAGGAAGGAAAACAACCAACTACTGACTGTTCTTTGTTTCAGTCCTCACGGGCGCTATGATTACAGTGTCTCGCCTGGATGACACGCAAGGTCTCAGAACGGAACTGCACAAGCCACGCAGACCAGGATGCAGGAATTCAACTTCTACTAGAATAGAAGTATCTGCAACGCACTGCAGATACCAAAAGCTCTCCTTTTATCTGCTCAGTTAATCCTCCCTTATGGAGTAAATATTACTATTTCCAGAGCACTGTGAACATTTGTAGAGAGATGGAATTAAAAGATAAGTTTATTTTGATGTAATAGTTTTTGATGCCCACGCGTGTTCATAGTGCGCCTCTTTCAGGAGAGGGGCATTCTGGGGATCTGAGCGCTGATGCTAAGCCAGTAGCTTGCTCCTTCTTAACCAGTGTCCTATTCAGCCTCTCCGACTCAACGCACTCTACCAGGTGCTGTGATGGAAGCCCCCACACTGCAGCGGCAGCCTGCGGCAGACCGCACTTCCCCAGGTACAGAAGTAGCTTTAAACTGCCACATCCCTTGTAACTCAAGACAAGGGGGGTAGGAGGGAAAGACACAGATTGAACTCACTTTATCTGATGTAAAAATACATCACAAGGGAAAGCGTTCTACCCAAGCAATAAAGTACAAGTCTTCAGAAAGTTCATGGAACAGTGCAGTCTGCAAAACTATGCATGGATTTCAAAATGGACATCAAAATATACTTACTTTTTAATTAGATTTTTCATGAGCTTTTTGAAGTCCCTTTATGTAAGTGAATCTGCCAAACCTTCACTGATAGAATTCATCCCTTTCAAAAGTGTCAAACAGCCTACACTAGGCAAACGGCTCAGTGGCACCTTGGGCTATCTGCGACACAAGCCAGCATCAAAGACCAGCTCTGGCAGTCTTAAGACAAAGTGAAAAGCAGCAGCAAGCCCTCTGCAGAATAAGAAAACATCAACCTGTAAGCAAAATGCAGGAAATCTTGGGTAACTCTTGATTCATACTTCGGCCAGATACTAAACTGCAAATTCAAGATTTCAGAATTGTCTGAAATCACACTTGAGCCATGAAAACAGTAGCAAGCACTCAGGATTTCCTTGGAAGTTTACAGAAAAGAGGGATCCATCGAAACTGACCTTCTGTCATCTGCCAGCCACCACTTCCCTTGGGGACACAGGGTGGCCGCAGAAGAGCAGTCCCTCTGGGTCACCTGCACCCCTAACTGCCTGTGGTTGCAGCCACAGGGTGGTGATGGGGTAGGGAATGCACTGGGTGGATCCCCCACCCCACCTGCTCTCTCACTTCCTCCAACACAGTTCTACAGTCTGCTCTTCCTGTAGGACTATCACTTGCCTTGAGGGGAAAGGGAATTGTGTACTTGGCATAAGCATGGCCACCAGGGAGGCATGGAAGAACAGCTTGTGAGCAGCACTGGAGAGATGGGACTGGTACTTACCTGAGTGCTGAAGGAGTCTTTCTTGGCCGAGCTCTGAGCCTGAGGGGGACCTGGGGCCGGGGACAGCCGGGAAGGGCTCTTCTTACTCTGGGGCAGCAGCGAGGACAGGAAGCCCACCCGTGGTGACTGGGAGAGGGAGGCGCTCCTCTGGCTGCACACCATGGCTCTGCTCAAGCAGACACAACACAGGGTCACACAGGGGGCTGGAGGGGGCGTGCGACAGTCAAGAACACAGAGCGGCTGGGCGAGGGAGGGTGCTAGCACCTGGGGCCTTGGTCAGGCCTGCAAGGTACGATTTGGTAGCAATGGTACCTCTTGGTACCATTCCGTGTACAAAGGGAGCTGGCAGCTTGGCTGGCTCCTCTGAGGGCCACCTCATCCGACTGGCCCTGGCCACACTCGCTACTGAGCAGTTGAAATGTGGTTAGTTCAAAAAGACATGCTGAGGGTTTAATACAACAAAACTCAAACACTCATCATGGAAAGGAAAAATAAAAACAGCTTATCCATATATTTCATATATTCATTATATGTTAAAATAACACTTTTGGGTAAAAGTAATGTCACTTGTTTCTTTTAGCATAAATGTTAAAACATTTTGGCAGTCCAGTTTTTCGCTCACAGTTTATTTCCATCAGATGGCAAAGGCTCCTCTATGCCTGTATTTTTGGCTGCTGCTACCCACCTCTGGCTTTTGACTTAACTGGCTATTTTTTTAATTTATTTTTTTAAACTCCTCTCTCTACCTGCCCACCTCTTTGAGCAGCAAGCTTCTACAGAGAACCGCATCTAGCCCATGGTGGCCAAACCTTCCACACAAGGCATTCCTGGTACAGAAAAACTTCCCAAGGCCTGACATCTGTGCTTGTGGTCCATTTATCCAGGCTGTGCACATCCGGACGCCTACGTGCCTGGCAGGGCCGTACAGCTCTCCCTCCCCCCAGGCACAGCCAGAGGCTCACAGCTTGAGAAAAACTCCTGGAGAACCTTAGAGGTCACGGGGCTCATACAAAACTACATCAAGTGCCATGTGTGCCAAGGAGGCTCTTTGGCAGATCTCCCTCATAAGACATGGGAGGTGGGGAGTCGAGGTGGGGGCGGAGTGACATGTGTGGCTCAGAGCACAGGAGACCAAGGAGAGGAGGGGACCACTGCTCTCCCATGCCCAGCTTCCACACACACTCACAGCTCAGAGTCCCCCAGGCGGTCCATATTGGAGACGTAAGGAGGCAATTTGTGCTGCACCAAGATCTCTTCCTCTTCCGGCTGATGCTCCTCTTTCTTCAGCCGGTGGACTTCAGCTTGCAGCGCAAAAAGCTACAAAGATGTGGAGCAGAGTAAGCTCATGATCTTGCCTCGTCTTCCCCCAGTAAAGAAGTTTCCAGACACATCCCATCCCAACCCCAGCTCAGTAACTCCAAGCGCTGCTTTCCCTGGGTTTGAGGGAACCCATCCCCCTCTCTGCTCACTGTACACTAGGGAAAAAAAAGGAAAAATGACAGCTAGTGTTGGACAGAGGTAAGAACACCAAGCCACTAAAAATCCAAGTTCACTCTTTTTGTTACTGGACCTTCTTCTTGAATTCGCCAAGGGAAAAAAAAATTGCATCTATTCAATCTGATTTCTTCTTCAGAGTCTATAAAATCAGGCTTTAGACGTCTCACGGGATAAAAGTTGTAAGTAAATTGCAGGGTAAATTTTTAACTGTACCATTTTTAACCTTTCACCTAAAGAAAAATCTCACACACCAAAAACCTTAGCAGCTTAAAGAATCTTCCTTCTCCCGACTATGTATCACAGAGAGATTTTAGTTTCAGAATACAGAAATGCTCGTCAAGAACAACATGAAGGCACAGTCCCCTCTCTTTACGGTTTTGTCAAACAAGACAAATGCGTGGCTGAGTACGACCAGTGACATGGCCTCAGGATCATAAATGCCACACATGTGATTCTATGTGGAAGAGGACTGGAGATGGACGAAAACAGGTGTGTCGGAGCGACCTGAAGGCTCACGCTCGCTCTCCTCTGAGAGGTTTCCACGTCATTACACTGTGTATTACACCTAGACCTTGTCTCTAGCTTTCAGACATGGCTTCAGCCCCCAAATTCCCAAGACCAGCTTCCCCGTGTATCTTTGGCCCGTGCTCCTCTTAGCTTCACACAAGGACACGCGTGAGTGAGCTGACAAACCTTCTGCCGCAGAACTTCATTTTCCTCTTGAATCTGGTTGGTCCTCTGGCACTCAGCGTCAAAGTTCAGGATCACAGGGACTGGTGCACGAGGTTAAAGAATAAACTGCTCTGCAGAACACCCCTGTTGCCTTCCCAAACCCCTGGCACAGCAGAAAGGCACTTGAACACGAGACTCGGGGAGAGAAGACAGGATCAATGCTGGGGGTTCTTCCCGACGTTATCAAGCAGCCACTTCCTCGTCCCCAGGCCCATCACTCCAACAGGCCTGATCCTCACATATAGCAACAGGCCCTTGGGAAAGACTGACCCCTCCTGGGCAAAACCGGAGACTGGAAAAGACAGCTTCCTGCAGACTGGGGCCCCATGCCACCCCATCTGCCCTCTAGCTTGGAGTATCCGTTCTTCTGGTTGCCCTGAACAGCTGCAATCAGGGGCACACAGCGGATGGGACCTCCCCACAGGGGAAGCAAGCTGTGGCTCCTCTGTGTGTGATCTCCCGTGAAGGACATCCCTGTGTCCCTAGAAGCCCTGGAGCGGCTGTCTGAATGACCCTAGAGGGGCCAGGTCATGCCCTAACCACTGGGCCTGGGCAGCTACCCTGCTGATTCCACTTGAAAGCCTCAGGATGAAGTGGCAGCATTGAGAGCCAAGAGGCAGAGCCAGCAGGGGAGGGATTCCCACAAGCAGAAAGGGCAAAGGCAGAAAAGGCCCCCTGCCTGCCTCCGCCAGAAGCTGGTCCTCCCAGAGGCCAAGGCCGGCACCACCAGGCAAGCTCAGCGGTACCCAGGCCCCATCCGGCAACCCATTCAAAGCAGGCTCCCCCCACTTTGCGTAGATTTCCAGCCCAGAGAACAGGAACAACAGGGCACGCCTGGGGATCTCCAGTCTTCCAGAGAGAAGAGGGAGAAAAAAGGCACAGTTACATGTAGGCTGTTCTCATACCTTCTCTTTTTCTCCCTTTCAAATATCCACATGTGTATATTTGTACTGTTTTCTGGCAACTAGAGGAACACCGAGGTCAGAGAGGGAGTGCCCAGCAAAGCATTCCCATTTGCTGCCTAATCCCAGCAAAGACAAGTGAGGTCCTGGGGGACACATGCCACGCAGAGGGGGTGCTTTAAAAACTGGTGTGTCAGCTGGCTTCCAAACCAGAACCCAGGGCTAGTTCCCTCTGCCGCCACTGCCCCTGCCCAAACATGTCCACGACTCCTAGAGCGGCAGGGCAGCAGAACTAAGACTTGTGACTCCTGGCTTCCTGACAAAAATAACCACAATCTGCCCAGCCCCCTCACATGACCCATGACAAAGATCACAGGCAGAAGAGAAGGCTGCAGCAAGAAGGGCAGCTGCTGTGCGCAGTATCCGGAGGAGTGAGGCTGGGGCTGCAGCTGCGGACAACCCAAAGGATATGCATACACTGAAAGAGGACGCTGAGGAAGTTGTGCAGGGACACGATGAAGGTGTCTGCCCACTGTCGAGAGAAGTAGGTGGCAAAGGTGGGGTTGGTGTCTGGGGATGGCAGGAAGGGGAGGACAAACCAATCCTTCCACTCGGCCTGGTTCTGGAGTTCCGTGGCCTGCTTCGCGAAGAACTCCTGGGCCTTGTCGTTTCTGTTCGTCTGGAGGGGAAAGACAGAGACCCAGCGGTGAGACGCCTTAGCCTGTGGAGTAGCTGTCTGCCAGGTGGGTGGCCAAGCAGGACCTACAAACTCCATAACAGAAAGGAATACCACCCCCTTTCTCATGTCAAAGCTGTTTTCATCTGCAGTTAGAAGGATACACAACATCCTGAAAATGAGTCCCTAAATGACGTTCTAAAAACCTAACTGCCTTAGCCCCCCAAATCAATTATCTTTGTTACACAAACTTCAGGCAAGCAACTCATACCCTGTCCAACGCCACGCAAACAGGAAAGGAAACAAACGGGCAGAAGGTCAGATGGTTCAAGGATAAAGAAAAACCGTAAAACCAGTGCAATTCCCCAACCCTTGCCACAGCTCATGTAGTCCTCCGGAGGAGTCACGAGTAAAGTCTGTTTGTGGATCAAGAGACTGTCTCCCCAACCACAGCAGAATCGCTGTCACGAGCACCTGGATGGTGTAGACAAGATAGAAGCGGAACAGGCTGGTCTTCAGCTTGTTGATGGTGGGTCTGTAGATGTCCTCCAGGCGGCTGAAGAGCCGCCGCTCCAGGTAGCTCCAGTAATCCCGCAGGGCAGCCAGGTCGTACACCTGCATTAACTGCTGCAACTGGTCCACAATCTTGTCCACCTGGTGAGAGAAAGTAGCTCAGGAGGAAAGTGAAAGGACACAGAACAGAACTTCTCTCTCACTCCAGAGAACAGCGCTTTTCCCCAATGCCACGGCTTCCAGATGTTCAAAATCTGGTAAGTTAGGGAGGCCCCACATCGTGGTGCACCCCGTTAGGTCACCGTTTATAACAGCACCATCCCATACCAGAGCACCAGTTGAAACCCACGCCGCTCTGCTTCTATACCAGCTGCCTACTAGCAGGCCTCAGAAAGCAGCAACAGATGATCCAAGTCCCCGGGCTCCCGTCACCCATGCTGGAAACTCGAAGAGCATTCCAGGCGCCTGGCTTTGGTCTGGCCATTGCAGGCATGTGGGAGTGAACCAGAGGATGGGAGATCTGTCATTCTGCTTTCAAATAAAACCTCCCGGGGGGCGAGAGGGGTGGGGGGAGGTTCGCTTAAATAAAAGTAACAAGCCCAGCGTGATGGCTTAACTGGCTAGTCCTCCTCCCTTCAAGCACCAGGATCCCGTAAGGGCGCTGGTTCAGGTTCCAGCTATCCCACTTCCCATCTAGCTCCCCGCTCATAACCTGGGAAAGCAACAGAAGATGGCCCAAAGCCTTGGGACCCTGCACACACACGGGAGGTGGGGAAGAAGTTCCTGAGTCCTGGCTTCAGATCGGCTCAGCTCCATCCGAGTGGCCATTTGAGAAGCAAACCAACAGATGGAAAATTGGTCCTTCTCTTTGTAATTCTACCTTTCCAATTAAAAAAAAAAAAAGTTAAAAAAAAATAGGAGCAATAAAAGTGAAAGTGCATACAAGTGGGTCCTTCTCCTAGCTGGTAACTAATTCCAGGACTCCAAGGGTCACGAGGAGGTGTGTTCATGAACCCCTGCTAACCAAAGATCACCAAACCCCAGGCAGCTGGGCAGCCCACCAGACAAGCCACCTCCTTGTGAGGAGCAAAACTAGCCCATCGGGACAAGGTGCCACACAGCACAGACCCGAGCGCCGAGTCCCAGAGAGGTGAGAGAACCCGCTTCAACAGCCACTAGAAGCGGCTGGACTTCCTGACTCCTCCAGCCAGGGCCCCGTCCCGAGCTCACTGCCTCCCAATTCACCAGCCAAGCCCCCCGTGGAGTCGAGACACACAGATCACACACCCGTGTCAATTCCAAGAACCGCAACGGAAGTCCACATCAGAGGCCAGAAAGGCATGTTTTTAAATACATACGGTGAGATCTTCTTCCGATGCTCAGAAGCAAAATTTACCGCGAGGCCACTTCAAACATCAGATGCTTGGACCTAGCCAATGTTCTGGGGCTGCCTGTCTCCTTTGCTCCCACCGCCATAGAAACCCAATCCTTCCTTTCGGCCTGCCGCCAGAATTTCCCACCTACCCGACCCTGGTTCTTAAAATGCCACATGGTCACCCTAGCCATGGACTGGTCAGCAGCACCTGCTGGGAGGCCAGGCAGGGTGTACCAGGCAGGAGTCAGGGCACCACGGCAAGGCTCCCGGCTCGCAGGACAACTTCGGGCAAGTCAAGCCGTCCCAGGGCCTCAGTTCCTCATCTGTCAAGCTGCGGCCGGGAGCGCCGAGCCCCCCTCGCCGCCGGTGACAGCGCAGCTCCGGCCCCTGAGGGCGGTGGGGGCGGGGGGCTGTTCCCGGGCTCCCTCGGGTCGCCTCTGCCCTCGCCACGCCCGCCAGGCCCCTCACCCGAAAGCCCTTCTCCTTGTCCGCCTTGATCTCGGCGTCCAGCTGCCGCAACGTGTGCGTGAAGCCGCGGAAAAGCAGATACTCGCGGACCAGCTCGTCCGTGCGCTCTACCGCCTCCGCCATCGCTGCGCCAGCGCCTGGAGGGGCCGCGACGGCGGCGAGGGGAGACGGGGCGGGGCCTGGCAGGGCAGGGGCGGGGACAGGAGGCGGGCGCCCAGTACGTCACCCGCGGTCAGCCTATCGGCGTGCACGCACCGCGCACCTCCCTCCTGAAGCCCCGCCCCGCGGCCAGGTCCCGCCTCGCCGTGTCGTCATCACCGCCCTCCCGGAGGCGCCGCAGCCCGAGGCTCCGGCGGCGTGTGGCGTTTGCAGGCAGCGCTGGCTTCAAAGGGGCCGCCGCCGCTCAGTCCAGAGGCTCGAACCCTAGAGAACATCCCAGAGGGTCACCAGGCAGGGGGGAGCTGGGCGCACGGCTTATTGCCGTTCCATCGCAGAATCCTCTGTCCCTACCGTCCTCTTAAAAATGGAGGGGTCCGGAATTGAAAGAGGTAGTGACTGTTTGAAAGCGCGCAAACAGGTGTGTTATCACGGCGCCCTGGTTTCAGACGGAGACTGCTCACGCGGCAAGATAACCAAATGCCTTCTGACGCGGGTGTGGGGAGTTTCACAACGACTTTTAGGATATGGGCCCCGTTTCTTGTTTAAAAAACAAGTTATACCATGATGAGCAAAAGCAAACGAAGATTGAGAAACAGCCTCACCCGTCGTCCTGTCAGACTCCGTAAGTGCAGGGAAAGTGAGATTTCATCAAAGACGTTGCAGGACCAGGTGCTCTACTGAAAGCTCCTTGATTTTCTGCACGCATGTCCCTCCCCTAGTTCCTCACTGGCTGAGTCCTGGAGAGTTAAAAGCCTTTCTGGCATTTGCTTTAGCTGTTCTGTTCTCCCACAGCAGATTTGCCTGAGAGCTTCCACGTGCAGACAGCCCAGCTGTTAATGCCAGCTAGCTACTTGTTTGCAACTGTTGTGCTTGGTAATTCTCTGCTCACAGCAAACACCTGACTTTGAAAATGAAACATGTTGACTCTCAGAAAGATAAAATGTATGTATGTGTTTGTACATTTCAAAAACCCAGGAAGATTACATACCGAGGCTTGCTCTGTGAAATGAGAACACAAACGACTTTCATTTCCTAGTCTATACTTTTTAAAAAGCAAAATTGAATGTTTTTACAGGTGTCTGTACTATTGTAAGCAAGAAAATAACCAATCTCTTCCAGTGGATGGAAGATTTCCCTCTCCCTCTGAGTGTAAACTCTGCCTCTTAAAAAAAGTAAGTAGATCTAGAAGAAGAAAGAAAGAAGGGAAGGAAGGAATCGGGCTGGAGCAGGAACTGAACCAGGCGCTCCAAATGGGATGCCACCATCTTAACTGGCAGCCTAACCACTAGGCTAAATGCTTACCTTGGCGGTCTCTATTATAAAGAGGACTCTGCCCTCATAACCCAATCACCTTCCAGCATCACATGGGAATTAGGAGTTAGTAAAAACCCGAGTTTACTTCAGGCCAGCATCTCCTATAGGCACTGGTTTGAGTCCTGGCAGCTCCACTTCCAATCCAGTTCCCTACTAATGCACCTGGCAAAACCATGGAAGATGATCCAAGTGCTTGGATCGCAGGGTTCAAGTGGGCAATCTGGATAAAGCCATTGGCTTCTGCCTTCAGCCTGACCCCGCCTGGCCCAACCCTACTCATAAAACCCATTAGGGGGCAAGCCAGTAAATGGAAGACCTCTCTGTCTCTCTCTGTAATTTTGTCTTTGAAGTAAGTAAATAAATATTTTAATTTAAAAAAAAACATGCACAGATTTGGGGAAGACACAGACCGTAGCCATCACCTTCTCCGAGAAGTCCCCTTTTAACTGTCCTGTGTGTGTGGCAGGGGAGATAGCACCATTCTTCTCTGAATCTCTTGTATTTTTCACCCTAGCACTTACAACATCTGATAAAATAAGTATTTTTTTATTCAGTGTGTTGTCTCCCCACCGCCAATTAAAATATAAGCTTCAAGGAAGGAGAAATTTTTTCTGTTGTTTGCAACTGTATTCCCCAAAGCCAAAACAATGTCAAGCTTATACCGGTTGTTCAATAACTAAATATTGAGAGCTATTTCAACAAGAGCCTAGCCACCTTCAAGCAGGATAGCTCTATAAAACAGTAAATGTACTCTTGGTCAACCGTGCATGGAAATTCCCGTGAGCTTCTGGATTGTTCCTTGTCCAAGGTTTTTCTCTTGGTCGGGGCGACATTTGACTTCTCAGATTTCTGGAAGCATTTCACTGAGTTGCCCTTACATAGCCAGACAAGCTCACTCATTAGCTCTGATTTCTCATTGTGCACTCTCACGTCCCTGCCATTTGAATAGAAGGTGGCCTGAGGTTCATTTAAGAGGACTGTGGGAAGCCACCCCAGTGTCATTGTACCCAGAAAATTATGTGTTGAGCCACAGGGTGAGTCACTAACCACTTTTTCTGATTGAATAGACACTCTGTTTTTGACCCTTAAATCTGGGAGAGAACTGAGGACAGGAGCACAAGCCTAAGGGGAATAAACATTTCGTGAGTACCTACTGGGTGCCAGGTGTTATGCTTGATGTCAGGGACAGGATAACAGGCAGGACAGTCCTTACCCTCAGTGAGCTCAGGCTGGTTGGGGAGAATGAATGATAAATAGTGAATTTCTGGCCACGGGTGGAGGCTAGATTGGGTGGAGCAGGACTGGACGAGAAGGTGAAGGCCAGTCCAAGCAAGAGATGAGACTACAGCGGTGACAATGGGAGCAAGAGCAGGGACGTGAGAAGTGTTAAAGGGTCAGTCAGACTTGGTGACTAGTTAACTGAGTTGAAGGAGGATCCAAGATCATTGCAGAATGGCTAGCTTGCTGGCCTTAGTATCTGCATAGGTTGACTTCAAGGAATCAACCCAACTTAACCCTCGAGCAGTTAGCCAAGGGCACCTGGAAGTTACTCCTTTTGCCCTTTCTCCTGGGCCCCCCATTACATCTTTAATCTCTTTCTGTTCTGTTCTGCTCTCTGAACACTCTATAATTTCTGATACGTTGTTTTACAAAGTCCTTTGCCTGATCCTGCTTATGGTCGTTCATGTGTGTGTGTCGTGGTTGTGGTCGGGAGATCCAGGCCTTCCTGGCCTATGCTGAGATCACCACGAGGGCACAGCATGCTGCGCCCCTGGAAAACCAGCAGAGGACTTGGCAAATTGAGACCCTGCTTTGACCTGACGGCTGACAGGCAGCCTGGGACGGGAGGTACATATATGTACCCTATTTTCCTCTATTTTCCTCTATTTTCCACTAGAGACCATTATACTCAGTGAAACAGTCAATCCCAAAAAGACAAACATTATTTGTTCTCTTTAATATAAGGCAACCTTTATACAAAATATAAGATCAATGGCCCTTTCAATACGGTTTTGGCTATGTCTCAGTGGTCTGATATTTTTGTTTCTATTTTTATTCATTCAAAACAGGTTTTTAAAAATTAATTTCTTCTTTGACTCATAGTCACACTATAGCATCATTTACTTCAGGAAGACTTTGATTTTCTTTTTCATTTCTTCAATGACACATTGGTCATTCAGTAGCATGCTATTTAACCTCATGTTATACATTTTCTATTTTTCCCTATGTTGTTGATTTTGTTTTATGGCTTCATTTAGGGAGATGTATAGTAACTGTAGTGCAAACCTTCACATACAAATGTGATGATACAATGCAGTGTGCATCTCTACTTCCAAATCAAAGACGGACTCCCAAAGAAACGGTTGAATGTATTTTGACAATAGGATGTTGGACTCTCTGCCATTGGCTATGCCTACGATGTCAGGATACACTTAAATAGCAGAATGATGGACTTATGACTGATTATGAAGGACTATATTATTGTAATGATATGGGGGAAATCAGTCGGTAGGAGGACATAGGCTGGGGGAGGGAGGGGAGGGAAGTCCCAGAGCCTATGGAACTGTATCATGGAATAATAACAAAAATTTTAAAAGGAGCGATAATTTGATATATTAAACCATAATATCAGGATAGGGCCCAAGTTTTGACATTTCTTGAAACTCCCTCAGGTAGTTTAATGGGTACAGCCAGGGTTGACAGCCCCTGGCCTGAACCCTTTTTTATCAGCATGAACTACTTGACTATTCTTCTGTTGTTTAATTTTCCCTTTATCTGAGGAAGGCTGGATCGATCCTGTACTCACCATCATGTTTTAGTCCAAAATCAAAGTAACACGAGAGGAAAGTGAAGCACCTCCAGAATCGTGCAGTGAAGACTCCCCAAAAATCTTCCCTGTGAAAGTGAACACTGACAAAAAGAGCCCAAATCAGTTTTTTCAAAGTTCTAAAACTTAAGCTGATGTGTAATAATCTAAATGTTTACTCAAAGAAACAGATGCACTTGGGCAAGAATAGCATCCTTTTGTCATTTATTTATTTAGTTTTAAGATTTATTTACTGGGGCCAGTGTTGCAGGTTAAGCCACTGCCATGACACATCCCAAATGGGTGCAGGCCCTGGTGGCTCCACTCCCTACGCTTGCACGTGGGAAACTAGCAGAGGACCATTCACAGATGGAAGCCCCAGTTTCTGGGCTCAGCCTAGTCCAGCTCTGGCTGTTGCAGCCAATTAAGGACTAAACCAATCAATAAAAAATTCTCTCTCTCTCTCTCTCTCTCCCCCTCTCCTTCTCTCTCTCTCTCTTTCTCTTTCCTTTTCTCTTTCTCTCCTCTCTGTCTCTCTATAACTGTGACTTTCAAATGGATAAATTTTAAAACATGTATTTAATAAACAAAATAAAATAGGAAATAAAATGGTAAAATTTAAAATATATACTTGCCGCAAAAGAAATGTCATAATGGAGAAATGAAAAAAAATGTTAAGACACATAGAAAACAGCAAAGTTATAGATGTAGATCATCTTATTAATAATCACACTAAATGAAAAGAAACTGATTATATAAGGCAGAAGTTGCTTTAATGGATGTTTTTAAAAATCATGATCCAACTAGATGTCGTCTATAGGAAATTAAATTCAAAGATGTAGAGGTTTAAGACAGAAGGGGTGG